AGATTGTGAAAGAGAAGACGATTTTAGTGAGGAGAAATGAAGAAAAACACAATAAAGGAACAGGATTCATGAAGACAGAAGATGGCGATTGACGCTAAATTTAACTCTTTGAAAGCAAGGTAGAAAGAAAGCAAGAAATCGTGCGAGAAAAGAAACGTAGAATAGAAGTGGCGATTGAACCTAGTTCGACATTAAAACGGTGAGACCTAGTTGCCAAGCCAGTAGAACGCTTGAGTTCATGTAGTCGAGTTTACCAAGGAGTAGGCCTCATCAGAACTGTTGCCATGAAAATATTTGTAGAAAAGGCAGAGGGAATCCAGATAAGGATCACTTACATTGCATACAATTTTTTTTTAATTTTGTCAAGAATACCGAAGAATATATCAATATCAGCAGACCAGGTTTGGCAGCTGTGTTCAATACACAAACGAATTGTAGAGTTATACAGATGCAAAATGGATTCTGTCGCGAGAAATTTTTCAATGACAATTGAACTCAAATTCCATATTACAGCAATTGGTCTTCCCAAGCGCTCACCCATCTAGGAACTTATCGGGATCGACGTTGCTTAAGTACGGTTTTCCAATGCGATATAGCCATAAGCCTTCTGACTGTACGTGATATTGACGAAAAATGAGGTTGAAGTAATTGACGATTATAAGAATATCGAGGATAGATAGCACTTAACACTTGATCTGAAGAGATTAAGACTTACTTATTCGGGGAAGCAAAGCACACACGCTAAAATATGTTCCACAAAGTAACACTTCTCAAGAAAAGCTGAGTGGAACATTTTTTTCTTACGAATGAAATATGGGAGAAATGTGGGTGATTTGACTTCGTGGAGGTACATAGGTGAGTCCTAGCTGTAAAGATCTGAATTGGTGGAACAAATGATTGGATCTTATCTGAGTATTTGCCAGAGAAAAAGCGTTAAATTTGCAATGTTGCGTATGTGGAAGAGAGGCCCTAGGGTAGAAAATAGGTAATCCCCTACAGGATGTCCGTAATCGGTTTAGAACTCTATAAAGGCTGTATAGTGAAGATTATGCAGCTCCATCCCAGAGAGCGTAAAAAGTCAGATTTACACTAGCTTCAAACAGGTAGATACAGGTTTAATTTACAAAAAGAGTTAATCAAATCTAATTTATAGTAGAGTCAAACAGATAGTCATATATCAAATTAACAGTAGCGTCAAGCAGGTAGACATACGTTCAGTTAACAGAAGATTCAAATTGATAGACATAAGTTCCATTTCTAGTAAAGTCAAACAGGTTGGAGGCACAGTGGATACCGGCTCGGAGAGCAGAGTTCGAATTCCGGTCGGATTCATTACATTCACTTAGGTGCTAACACCCTTGGGAAGGTATGAATCCTCTTTTTCTCCTCCAGCTAAGAGTAAGTAGCAGAACCGACTGGGTTCTATAATCTTGGGTGACCTTAGCGCTGAATTCAAATTTAAAGGTAAATCGGAATTCCAAACTGGTCTGGAGAAGTTTGGGCTCCGTCTGGCTATCTTGCACAAGACTTCAGTATACGTGGTACCCGTAGGACCCTGATGAGTCACGGGATTCGTGCGGTCAAGTTTAGAGTCAAAAACGCAGCGATATTTCAATTTACAAAAAAGTCAATCAAGTAGATACAAGTCCAATTTTCCTGTAGATCGACATAGTTTCCATTTATAATAGAGTCAAACACGTAGACATCGAACCAAATTTACAGCAGAGTTAAACAGGTAGACACATGTTCAATTTACAGATTTAAACTCTGAGAAATTGGTCCCATTTATAAATTACATAAGTCCAATTTAGAGCAGAGTGAAACTGCTAGACATGGCTGCAATTTACAGTAGAGTCAAGCAGGTAGACATAGGTCTAAATCACAGAAGAGTCAAACGAGTGAAATAGATCGGCATTAGTCCAGGTTAAACGCAAAGCCAAATTTTAGGCTATGGTCTTGTTTATACTATTTGTCGGGCGTATACTCGCGTCTGCAAGCATCAACCCTGAAGGTGATCTGTTGTTGGTGGTAGGGGAGTAGTCCTCTTGAATACGAGTGGCCAGCTATACTTACATCCATGGATATTGGCTGAACATTACAGTATATTTATTTGTGAGTAACTTGAATGAATTTTATGTTTCTATCATCATGTATAAATTGTTATAAATTCATATCGTTTGTTGACCTCGCTCATATTCTAAAAATCATTGTAAGTTCTTAAAATCTTTATAAGATCATCAATAATGAAACTGTCTTTGGATTTAATGAGATGCATCGCAAATAAATGTTTCTTTCATTTCTGTCATTAATGCACACACAGATATTCAGCTTACACATGAACCATGTCACAATTGAGCCAACTTCATTCTAATATTACCTTTCATGCGGGGAGGATGTATATCATTTATATTTATTACATCCAATTTCATGAAAAATGTTTTCAGATCATAGTTATTATAAAACCCAGGCTGTGTGTGTGTGTGTGTGTTCGTTTATATATTGCATCGGATTTCCTACATTTTTCAACCGATTTCAACAAAATTTCACAGGACTACGTAAAATTACCTGCGGTGGTTCTGACAGCGCCAAAAATTAAAAAAACACAATTGTTTTTGCACAAAATCAATTTGAAAACACGATTAAGAGGCATCGCTGTCGCAAGAATGGAAGGGGGACAACTCATATCGAGTTATACTTATTATAAAACGCAGGTTGTTTGTTTGTGTGTGTGTTCGTTTATATATGGGATCGGATTTCCTAAATTTTTCAACCGATTTCAACAAAACTTCACTTTTTTGGCAGGTAGTGTTTCTTATTGTCTTGCACACTTTTTTCTTTATTTTTACATTCAGAATGCTTTAAAAATTCCATTTACAAGACAATTGTTTATAATAAAATTCTATTCAATCGGTAGACTCATAACGATTGAAAACAATGTTTGAGTTTGGGTTTGACCAATTCGTAAAAAAAACAAAAAACAAACAAACAAAAAACAAAAAAAACTAATTAAGACATGCGTGTCCGTCAACCTTAAAAAATAATCTTTGTCAATTTTATTTTTCAGTCTTTATGATGGTCGATACTTGATCTATCTCTTACTGTTACATCCCCAGGCAACGCTAGTCATTAATAAAACTGTGAGTCATACCGCATTTCATTTTTTTTTTTAAAGAGACAATGAATCTTTTCTTATAATTATCTGGGAATTATCATCGGTTTAAAAAGTGCAGCATTAGAAAATTTATTAATATAACCGTAAAATTTACACGGTTTCTCCTACTACTATTACTACTACTCATAATAATAGTAAGCAGTGACAATAATAATAATAATAATAATAATAATAATAAAAATAATAGAGTTTCCACATTTATCTATGTAAAATATGTGTAATCTTAATTTGTGTTTCTGTGTATTTATTTTTTTTTACAAAAATGTTCAGTAGAAAAAGTCATGAAACCATTTCTGACCTTAGATCACTGGTTGGGACCCAGAAGGAAATGTTTATACAACAGAAATTCAAGGAAATAATAATAATAATAATAATAATAATAATAATAATAATAGGTTCTGTGACAAATACCAAGAAACAATAGACCATCTAATCTCAGGATGTTCTATACTTGCCCCCAAATGAATATAAAAATCGTCACGATAGAGTGGGCAACATTTACACTGGACAATGTGCAAACACTTTGGAAAATGTGTAAGCAAACACTGGTATGAACATCGGCCAGCGCCGGTTACAGAAATAGAAGATGTCACCATTCTATGGGATTATACCATCCACACAGACAGAAAAATTGAAGCAAATAGGCCGGACATTATTGTCAAAAAACCAGAAAGAAAAAAACTTGCCTACTAATTGATATGGCTTGTCCAGCGGATTGTAACATAGCAACCAAGGAATTTGAAAAACTATCAAAATACAAAGACCTGAAATTGAAATAGAAAAATGTGAAATTGAAAACAAGAATAATACCAGTGGTAATAGGTGCACTTGGAATTATAAAAATGGAACAAAACAACACATTGAAAGAATCCTGAAAACCCCAACTTAAGAGACATACAGAAAATTGTCTTATTAAGTACAGCACACACACTAAGGAGAACTTTGTCTATGTAACGCTAGCAACTTCATCGGAAAAAAAAAAAAAAAAAAAAAATTAACATGAAATGTGGCCATAACAACACACCACGACCTGCCTTAGGTCTTTCCGCAGACTTGGTAGGTAGTGTGTCCATAGCAGAAATCGAATGATGATGATGATGACAATAATAATAATAATAATAATAATAAGAAGAAGAAGAAGAAGAAGAAGAACAACAACAACAACAACAACAACAAGAAATACAAAAAATTGTTCTCACAAGTACAGCTCACACCTTACGAAGGGCTTTATCTAAGTAAAATATTTTGTTTTTTGTTGTTGTTTTTTAATTGATCAGTGGAAAATGTCATGATGCCATTTCTGAACTTAGGTCTCTGGGCGGGACCCAGAAAGAAATATGTACATACCATAAATCAAAGGAAATAATAATAATAATAATAATAATAATAATAATAATAATAGGCAAGAAGTAGAAAGGAAATCGAAAATACATTAAAAGTGAAGTGAAGATCAGAAATCACAGGAAAGTAAGAAACGCAGCCAGAAAATTAAAAAAAAAAAAAAAAGAAAAGATAAATGAGGAGAAAAATATGAAGGAGAATAAAGGAAATAATAAAAAAATAAAAAGAAGAGGAAAAAGTTGGGTTGAAGATAAACAGAAAAGAGGAAAGCCTGGGAAAAAAAGGTGAAAACAAAAGAGAGATGAGAAGAATAGGAGGAGGAAGAACCGAAAAGGAACAAGCCAAAGAAAGGCAAAGAGAATAAAAGAAAGAAAAAGTTATAACCGAAGAGAGAAGGGTTGAAATTATAGAAAGCGTAAAAACAAAAAAGAAACATAAATAATGAAAAATAAATTTAAAACAAATTGCATCAAGAACAAGTAAAAGTATGAACAAATTCGGGAAAGAAAAACGAGGAAATAAAGGCGCTTTTCAACAAACACTGAAACGTAAAAAATATATTAGCAAAATTAAAATAAGGAAAGAATGTCTGAAGCTGGTATTTAATTCAATTAAGGTTTGTTTGAAAGGAATGGCAGCAAAAGATGGTAACGATATGATGAAGATAAAATTTTGGGGGTTAAACGAGTCAGTCGTTCTCCCTCAGGCAACTGACAAAATAGGTGCAGACATCATTTTGTTTTTTGATATTTTGTTTTGTAGTGTAAATTCTTTTCATTTTGCCGTGTTTTCTTTTCACGATATTTTTTCTTTCAGTATTAAGTATTGATATTTTGTTTCTGTCATACATTTTTCCTTTTATTTATTTTCTTTTATTTGTCTGTTCCTGTCATTGTTTTTTTTTCTTTCTTTTCCGGTTCAATTTATTTGACTAGTTCTTTTCTATTTTTTTTATGGGCGGGGATTTGAAAAAATTCTTTTAAATTCTGTCTTTTTCTACAGATTTTATTGCGACCATTTTTTAAAAAAAATTATGTTACTTAACTTTTTCAAAATTAATCACGCGTTAGTTCTCAACCATTTCTCTTTCCTTTTTTGATTCATTCTCTTCTTTATTTCTTCTGATATCGCCTTTGTTTTTTTTTTATTTACTTCATAAGTTTTTCTTCTTTCTTCATCGTCTTTTTTTTTTCTTTTTCGTTACGGTTTTTTCTTTCACTTCTCTTCTGTTTATTTGTTTTTCATTCCTACTTTATTCTTCGTTACGCTTTTGTTTATTCATTCCTTTTTTGTTTCCTTCATTTTCTCTTTATTTTTCTTTTCTAACATTTTTCCTTTTTTTCTGCTGTGCTTCTTCTTCCTATTTCCACCGTTATTTATTTTTCATCTCTTTCCTTTTTAGCTTCACTTTCTTTTAATGTGCGTCTTCATTTTCAAATTTTAATTCCTTTTATTTCTTCTTTTAATAAATTGAGATCTATCTATCTATCTATCTATCTATCTATCTATCTATCTATCTATCTATCTATCTATCTATCTCAGTCTGTTCATTATCTATCTATCTATCTATCTATCTATCTATCTATCTATCTATCTATCTATCTATCTCAGTCTGTTCATTATCTATCTATCTATCTATCATCTATCTATTTGGTCTATCTATCTATCTCAGTCTGTTCATTATCTATCTATCTATCTATTTATCTATCTATCTATCTATCTATCTATCTATCTCAGTCTGTTCATTATCTATCTATCTATCTATCTATATCTATCTATCTATCTATCTATCCTATAAGTCTGTTCATCTATCTATCTATCTATTTATCTATCTATCTATCTATCTATCTATCTATCTATCTATCTATCTATCTATCTATCTATCTATCAGTCTGTTCATTATCTATCTATCTATCTTAATCTATCTATCTTCATCTATCTCTCATCTGTTCATTATCTATCTATCTATCTATCTATATCTATCTATCTATTCATCTATCTATCTATCTCAGTCTGTTCATTATTATCTATCTATCTATCTATCTATCTATCTATCTCTATCTATCTATCTATCTATCTCAGTCTACTTTTCATTATCTATCTATTTTATCTATCTATCTATCTATCTATCTATTCAAGTTTGTTCATACCTAGCTATCTAGCTTCATATATATCTATTTAACTCTCATATATTTTAATTACTTTTGTTTTCTATTGATTTCTTTTTTTTTTCCTGTTTTAATTCAAGTTCATTTTTCCTTAATATTAGTATTACTGTTAGTAGTATCAGCCTCCTTCCTTCCTTCCTTCCTTCCTTCCTTCCTTCCTTCCTTACACTACGTTAAATTCTTGCCATTAAATTTGGGACTAATCAACTGATGTTAAATATATAATTGTTTCCCACTGTCTGAGTTTCTGAGATTAGGAGTTATCATTATTAAAACTATTTAAATGCTGAATATTTTCCAAATCTTTGACGTTGCTATTACAATGTTTCGGTTGTTGTGACCCCGACCCTCGACCGGACTTAATCAGGTGTATGTCGATCCGGGTAACCTACAGGGAATTCTGAACTGAACCCTTTATTTAATCGACAGGAGCACACTGTTCTTGTTCCTCTGCCCATGTTTAAGGTAAATCTTGTCTAATTACTTTTAGTACTGCTTACATATTTCTCGTCTTGTTTCAACTGATTCTAAGTACACACAGCCCTATCCAGGGATTGAACTCACAATTACTATGTTACCAAACGCTTTTCTCCACTTTGTTATTATATCACGAGACAATAATCTATTAAACTGTTGGTTCGGGAATTTGATGATATATTGAATAATTATTTATCTATAACAATATACAGTATACCTATCAGGAAATTAAGAACTATCCTCATTTAAAAAAATATATCTTTTTCTAGTGGTGTTAGTTTTACTTATGCATATGGTATTCTACACACACACAATCATCCATACATACATAAATACATGCATATATACATATACGTTGCTTTTGTTTATTATTACTTACTTTGAGAAAGTCGAATTGCCTAATGCGTCGGCAAGGACTAAGTATTATTTTCCGATTGTCTATTTTATTCAATTTGTCTTCTCTACAGGTTTATTCCGAGAACTTTAAGACATGGAAAACAAAAACACACGCTTAGTCAAACAAAAGAAAAAGTTACTAATATCCAAAAAGAGGCTAACGCAGGCGCGTCTTTTTAAATTGTTGAATTTCATGTAACTAAACAACATTCGCTTTTGTTTATCATCATTTGTCTTGATAAAGTCGAATTGCGAAACGTGTCGGCAAGAACTAAGTAATATTTTCCGATAGTCTATTTTATTCAATTTGTCTTCTCTACAGATTTATTCTCGGACATCGGAAAAAAAGCTGGAGAGATGTTAATCAATGCGGGATCCTGCATATAGTTCGACACAAAAAAAAAAATGATCGATTGGGCATATGTCGGATGAGTGTTATATCAAACTCATTTTTGACATTTTCTAGATTCTTTTTTAAACCAATATTAGGAATTTTGGTCTGTTTAAATGTTGTATTATCGTACTGCAATCTGTTGTGATGCATGAAGTCCATCAATTAGTTCTAATGAATATAACAAAGTAGTCAACAAGTTACTGAAGTTTTTAAACGGAGTATCCCACACGATACAGGAACACACTCCAGACCATTCTGGACCCATGGTTTCATGAGATCTGTCCCTCACACTTACCCTACCTTCAACCCGAAACAAATTAAATTGTGTCTCATCGCACCACGTCAAATGTTGATTGCCATCTGCTTGCTAAATTAGTGACGTACTGTGTCCGTTGTCGTGATGTCAACAGGAGTACCCTGCTGAGAAGTGTGCACTGATATATCAGGAAAGTTTTAAAAAACTTGACAGGCATCAGGTAACATCAGGTGAATGTAGACGTCGGCACCGTTGTAGCAAGACGCCTCTAGTCACAAGTATTAATGATCAGTGATCGGTTATGGCACTGAATATAGCAGGTGGTAATATTTTTCATCAGGCATTCCTTGTGTCGCAGCCCAGATTAACACACTACCAGAATATTCCCGATTAAAGTCTAGTTAAGTTCAGAATAACAGGGATTTCATTGGACCTATACTCACAAGGCCAATTTATAATCCCTTTTACTATGAGTATCGAGAAATTCTCTTCTTGACTAGAATGTTATGCGAGAGATACAGTTAAATAATAACAATGGCTGATCTGAAATCATACAACAGTAATCAGTAATATATGACGAGAAACTACATTCGGCAGCGAGGCGCCTGATCGGGAGATTGGCGATTTTGAGAAGCGTGGAGCCACCTCTTATAAGCCCCATTTGTAATCTATAATTTTGTCACTTTCAGATAGCCTAGCCGGTGCACACTGATATAGGTCTGGGTATTTATATTACTTCAATATACAATCTTTTCCGATACTATTGCCTTTATATACAGCTACAATTAGCTTTGTGGCAAGTCCGTCCATAGGACGAATTAAATTATAATGGAGTAATACAATATACTATATACTCTTGTGCAAATTATTTGAAACTGTTATGGTCCAAGGTTAGGACCATAGAAGAACAACACGGAACACAAGACTAGAAATAACAAAGAATATATTACACGAAAAATAATACAAGACGGGAAGGTGTTAGTATGACTGTCAGACTGGTTTTTAGTGAACTACTATCAGCTCGACTCGATTCAATACCGTCCGTCTCTCTTGAGGCGCGTAGTATACATAAGAAGAGTTCATTCTGTCGATCTAGGTAAGGACTCATGACAGAAACAAAACGAATAATTCCGTTATTATTTAATTTTTCGTATTTTTGCAATGAAACATGCCCCAGTACACATGTTAGTACTTCGTATGTCCATTCCACGAAGCCGTTCCTCGCAGATTGATTACACATTCTCGATTGGATTTAAAACAGAAGCGTTTCCGGGTCAGTCTATAGTATTTTGATTTACTCGCTGTGTTCGTGCAAGGTTACATTTTTCTCATGCTTCCTTGGAGTAACGTTCATAGCAGACAATGGCCCCAAGACAACTAATCGACTGCCGAGACAATAGTGTCTGGGCGTGATGAAAATCGGATGCAATCACGGATGACGTAGTATATTTCAAGGCTAAACAAATTTCATCATACACCCCGAAAATAGATTCATATTACTGTACACCTCAGCAAATGACCTAATCTGAGGAAAAAAATGGAAACTGGTTACACCCTGTAATTCCAGCGGGTATAAATCTGAACGAATGGTGAAAGAAAGGAAACTAAAGTAGTTGTTTCAATTACTTTGCACAAGGGTGTATGCCATCCGAATCTGTCTTTCAACTTTATCTTGCACATTGATACATCTACCATTTGCCTGTGCATTGAATACTGCTGCCATATCTGACCTGGTAGTGATGCTGCTACGTATCTAGAAATCCAAAGAAGAATCTGCAATCTTATCGGTCCTGACCTGTCATATCGGCTTCCACCGTGAAGTAGTTTCCCAATGTCTTTTCTATAAATATTTTCATGGCAATTGTTCAGATGATATTTCTAAATTAATACTTCGATTTCATGAATTTAAACGCATTACTAGATTGATAGTTTTCTTTTTCTCCTTCTTAATTGTTGTGGAGTGATTTCACAGTGTAGGCTTGTGTTTGTACTAAGTCGGTCCTAAAATAGGTTCGACGTACAAAACGTTAGGAACTTGATATAATAGGTATTACGCAGAGTAATCTAGTTGTGGTCGCTGACTACTTTCGTATTCGACTAACTGTCGTCCGACACCGACTGACTAACCGACTGACGACTCCCACGTTACTCTTACTACTCCTACTTATTATAGGTGGGAGAGTCTATTAACTATAGAATAGGTGTGTTCCACTAGAACATTAATGTTTAAATTATAAAGTGTAACCATAATTCTATTCTAATAATTTATTTTCACTCGTGAAAATCACTTCCAGCTTACTGCTTACCTGTCAGCTCCTATATAGAAAAATTAAAATGCAATGTCAGTTGTCACTCGAATCCTGTACTTAATGCTCTTTCATCTTCCCTAACAACTAGCATCTTAATCACCTTGATTGAAGTGAAATGGCTAAAAAAAAATATACCTGAAAAAGTATTTTATTTTTTACATATCTGCACTTTGAACTATCATGATGGGAGGGTCCTGGCCTTGAATGTCTTCAAAAGTGTTTACGCGGACTTGTGGGTGATGAATTATTTTCCACCCTACAATCTCTTTCCCACAAACGAAGCATCACAAGCTTCTCAGTACTCTATAGCTACTACAATGGCATGTGTTCTGACACGCTACAATCTTTGGTTCCATCAGTCTTCACCTATGCAACTGGGACCCGCCATGACACGTACGCAAAAAGGAATCATCCCCTCGTATTCAATTTATAAGTAATAAGTTCCATTCGTGCAGCTTCTTCCAAAGAATTATTACTCTATGGAGCAGACCCCAGCCTGTTGCTTTCCAGATTAATACAATATTAACCTCTTCAAGTCTAACCCCATGAAATGTATTAATTGCATTCCTCTTACCTTTTCTTATGCCCATAAAGCACCACACAGTAAATCTATACCTTGTGTGGTTCTACAGAAGGATAATGAGAATTACATTGATTGAACAAGTGAGTAACAAGTGTGTTTTACGAGAAATGTTAACAAAAGTACGTCCATATTTGACAATCAGAAAGAGGTATTTGAAATAACTAGGATACATAATAAGGACTGTCGGCTTAGAAAATTTGACACTGTAAGAATTGCATTTATTATCTTTCCTCATGCTCATTCGACCCCACACAGTGGCTATTGAGCCTTGTAAAAAAAAAAAACCTCCCTTTTATTCACTGATTCTGTTAAGTATCCTACTGTTTCGAGGCTATTATTACCTACAGCAGTTTGACTTCCTTCCCAAATATCTTCATTACTCAAATACTTCCATTTTCATATAAATACGTTTTAAGACGATATTCTGCTATATTAGATGCAAGTAAAAAAGAGACTAAAATTTAAAAGTAGACGTCAACGAGTTAAGTATGAGTTGAAGCGATGTCAAGAAGATTTAAATCTCAGAATTTAATACTGAGCGAGGATGTTCGTAAA